AAGAGACTGAATTTTTTAATGAAATGTAAGTTTGCCATCACACAGTTTGAAAGATAGATGCGAAAAAAGACAAAATATTTTCCCATTATTGAAAAGCCTACATCGAATAAATTATGTATGATACAATGTTTTCATTTAGATACTTAAAAAAAAAGATGATGATAATACTTAGTGTTTATTTTGTCTTTCATTTTGAATTGAAAAGCATAAAATACTCCTTTCAAACTGTAATTAAAATCATACCTTTAGAAAATACTATAGGTTATTTTTATTATTTTTTTTTTGTACCAAGTTTCCCATTGACGTGAAAATCATAAAATATCCTTCTATGCTGTATTCAAAATCCTAAAAATACGTTTTTTGGGGCTTTGTTAAGTGAGTCATTCATTCCGACAAAACAAACATACAAACAAAAGACGTGCAAAGGAAATTCAGAGTAGACTTTCCCGGGTAGAAATAAAGATTAATTTCAAAGTTTGAAAGTTGTTTGATAAGTCTGGCTACGGAATAGAATAGAATTTATATTCTGTAGAAATTATTATATGATTTTTGTTGATTTTTCGTTGGCTCATAATACTGTCTACGTAGGAAATATTTCTTCGTCCTCTGCTTCTGTTTCTTCTTCTTCTTCATTTTTCTTCTTTTTTTTTTTCTTTGTCCTTCTCTACTTCCCTTTTTCTCCTCTCATTTCGTTCTTTATCATCTCTCTGCAACCTACCCTTTCCCCTTTCTCTTGCCTCCTCTTTTTTCACTCCTGTTTCCCCCCTCCTCCTCCTCCTCCTCCTCCTCCTTCCCCACTCCCTTTACTCTCCCCTCTCCCCTCCTTCCTCCTCCTCCTCCTCCTCCCCTTCCCTCCTTCCTCCTTCTCCTCCTCATTTCCCCCTCCTCCTCCTCCCTTTCCCCTCCCCCTCCCTTTCCCCTCTCTCATCCTCTCTTTCCCCTTCCCCCTCCTCCTTTCCCTCCTTCCTCCTCCTCCTTCCTGCCTTTCCCCCACCCCCTTCCTTCCTTCCCCCCTCGTCCCTTCCCTTCCTCCCTTCCTTCCTTCACCTTCCTGAGTTTTAACAAACCATCGCTCCGCCAGCTGACCCAAACACGACAAACAGGAAACGAATCGAGTAAGCAAAATGAAATGTCACCAAGAAAAAAAAATGTATCTATCTTTAGTGTGTGTGTGTGTGTGTATGTGTGTGTGTGTGTGTGTGTGTGTGTGTGTGTGTGTGTGTGTGTGTGTGTGTGTGTGTGTGTGTGTGTGTGTGTGTGTGTGTGTGTGTGTGTGTGTATGTGTATGTGTATGTGTATGTGTATGTGTATATGTGTGTGTGTGTGTGTGTGTGTGTGTGTGTGTGTGTGTGTGTGTGTGTGTGTGTGTGTGTGTGTGTGTGTGTGTGTGTGTGTGTGTGTGTGTGTGTGTATGTATACAGTTTAAACGCATTTGGCGCGCTTTCTATTATAAGCTCCACCACACTAACGCTAAAAGGCTATGTTAACATTAACTTATTTCAATCTAACAATATGAGCATTGTAGTAATGTAGATCCTCCGTAGCACAAGATACAGACGGAAATTACGATAACAGTCGCTATCGCCATCGTCTCATCTCAGTGACACGTGTCAAGCTCCACGTAAGTACTTTTAAATAGATCTTGACATGCTTGCGATACCTGAGATGAATTCCACAAGAAAATACAAAATTTGACGGAAAAAAGCGACAGTCCCACCAATTCTTTCTTGTCTCTTAGATGAAGACGATAGCAATCTTCCCGTCTTGATCACGTGTTACGGAAGATCTACACCAGTGGAATGTTTTTTTACTGATAAGTGAAATAAAAGTTGGTGTAAAATATAACCTATTATTACAATGTATTTTTTACATTATAGTAGTCTCCTTTACATGATATACATATTGAAAGTTCTTAGGGAAATGCATAACGTAACGGTCACACAGGTCATTCAGTCACGATGACATAGCGGATATTTTTAAATTCTTCGAGTCAATATCATCACGTGATGTCATGTAATTCAGTCTCACGTGAAGACTATGAATATTCGTAAAATATTGCAGAAGTCTCCATTACTTCGAAGACGAGCCAGTGTTTTCAAAGGAATAACTTGATCACTTGTGCTTGTTACGTACTAGTGGAATCCGGTGGTCAGCCTTAGAAAATTGTTCCCTTTACAATATTTCTTCACTGAATATTCTTCTTTTATCCCTCCAAAATGTAGATTTCCGTAGATTACTGCTACTGTGTGATTATGGTCCCCTCATGCGGTACAATTTTTGACGAATTTCTGTCATCTAGCCAAAGTTATTGTGCCCGTTGAGTAACAGTGCTACAGTGGCATCTTAACATTCTAAAGACGTTTTTTTTTTTTTTTACTGAAATTTATTCAAAATATAGCGATAGGTTGGGGCCAGGCAAGGAAGTTCTTTGGTTCACAAGGCGAGGTTTGTGTACTCCCAGAATGGTTAAAAGAAACAGATGTGCTTGACTCCAGATTATAGAGCATTATAATAAAGTATTATGACGGAAAGGGTAAAAGTGGGTTAACGATTGGGATAAGTGGACAGAAGGGGATGAAGAAGAGAAGGAAAAGGAAAGGGAGGAAAAGACCTTGCAAAATCTGGTGAGGCAAGGGCACGCCTGTCTCCTGAGCCACAAGGCAACAAGCTAGGGATTGCTTTAGAAACGCTTAATGACTAAAATGTGCTACGCATCAAATGCTATATGCGGGGTTTTAAAAAGTTCCTTTATTGGAACAAAATGTCGTTGATTTCCCCGGGCATTTGACATTACAAGATAGAATGGTAGTGAAAGTAGTAGTAATAAATGGAGTAGGATTGGGATTCATAAAAGGGGAAGGGTTAAGAACAAAACTAGAAACAAAAGAAATTGTGCGCACTCTGCTAACTTCCAAATATCAGTTAAATTATATTCTGAAAAACATTTCAATTTGCCACGCGTGGGCTGCTTTCCTAACCGATTTATTGAAAATAGAGGTTTGCTGAGATCATTTCTTTGAGCATGTCTTTTGACTATTTTTATGACGGGAAAGATTTTCTCGCCACGACAATTCCGAGTAATGGTTAATGGTTAATGGTTAAATGCAAGATAAATGTGCTAGACATCTAAGGTCATGTAGCACTATAGTTAATGTTAGTGAAGGGTGGTTGAGTTAGTGATTAGTTGTCTAAGCTGGGCAAAGGAATTAGTGAGTGAAAGGGTTAAGGTCGGGTGTTATATTAGATAAAGGATATGCATAAGAAAGGTTTCTTGAAGGCATACAATAGATGGGTTATAAGAGGAAAGGATATGATGGTCAGGTCTGTGGGAGCGGAAACCGCGAATATTCCAATGAAGGATAGTTATACTTTCGTTGATTTAGTGATATAGATTGTAGTACGTGTTGGAGACTTTGAAGGAGAAGCAGCTAGAGGGTGGGATAAGGACTGAGAGGTTTGAGATGGGAGAGGTGTGGGAGTTGGTGTTCTATCAGGAGGGGTATTAGGAGATGGAGGGTCTGAGGAAGGGGATACTTGTGACATAAGGGATTCACGTGTGTATCCAGGAGGGAGTGGAAGGGATAGAGGGGATGGTGGGAGAGTTAATGTGGGCGGGGTTGGGGTCAGGGGGGATGGGCTGTGTTGGGAGGGGGTAGGAGGGTAGGGTGTAGGGGGGATATCGTTAGGAGGAGGATGGATATCAGCAATTACTTGGAGTGTGGAAGGAGCAGGAGTTGTAGGTTGAGTGTCAGTTTTCATTAAGTAATCTTGAATATTTTCAATAGTTTCTTCTGTGGAGTTGGTTGGGGAGTTTTGGGGGATAAAGGATTTCTTGTGAGGGGGGGGGGGAAGAGAGGACTGGTGTCTCAAGAGTACGGGCAAAGGATGGTGGGGGTGATTGTGTGGTAGGGGAAGAGGGGGTGGAACGTTTGTTCTGTCTGTTACGGGGAGTGCGAGGAGGGAGAGGGGAAGGTGTTGGGGTTGTAGTGGTGATTGGAGTATCTGTAGTAGAGATTGGAGTTTCTGGACTTAGGATGGCAAAAGAGTTTGACTGGGGAAGGTAGGTGGGGTTAGTGGGGGGGTTAGATGTAGGAGGGGTGGGTTTAGGAGAAGTGTTAGAATGAGCAGTATTACTGGAGTAAGGAGTAAGAGAATCCACGTCGACGTGCTTCCTGTCTGGCTTCACGTGAAGGTGAAGGGACAAACAAAAGTGGGAAGGGAAAAAAAAAGACCATGCATAATTAGTTGAGTCGAGGGCTGAGTCCCAAGGTTGGGGAGTTCCCCATCATTGGGTCCCAGTCTCCGCCTCCTAAGCCCCCCCACGACAACAACGGGCAAGGGATTGGGGGGGGCTGAGATTTAAGGTCTTCTCCTAAGCACTACGACGAGGGGTAAGGGACAGGATCAGCACATTTCAGGCGTGAAGGCAGATTGTTCATAATGGGTTTGTTCATGGAATATCATGGTTATAATGATTTGATACATTTTTTAAATACGTGGCATATTCTGTTGTTAGTGGACAGATTCGGGTTTAAGTTCGGCATATTCTAAATATTTATCTTCGGAGTTCGTATCTAATTCCTCCTTTTGGCATTTACCACTGGTAATTACTCTCGCTCGCATCTGAGAATACTGAAGAACAGGGTATGGTACTGTTCTGTTCTGTTTTGTAATGCTCACTACCAGTTATTTCTAGGATATTTTGTTGAGGAAGGGTATATCTATCAGTTCTTGTGCTTTATGGAGCTTGGAATTACCTCTATTTAGTTTTCAAATATGAACAGGATTCTTTTATTATGGAAAATTTCAGCTTATTTTTCCAATTTTGATAAACTTTCAAATAAAATTGAAATTTCAAACCTATACAAGAATGTTTCTCAAGCTCTTATAGATGCTATCTGTACACAGTCTTTCTTAAGACTACATTTTCTTGTTTATATACCATCTTTCATTAAAAAATATATACCTTGTTTTTTTAGGGTTATAAATAAAATCACAGCTAATGATCATCCATGTCTTTGAATAAATCAGCATGTTTGAAAAGAGAGTTATCTTGACAAACATTATAATGCATAAATAAAATTCAGTATACCTTATTAGTTAGAAAGATACAAGAAACTTTGTGAAGTTGTGACTTCATAGTCCAAAAAACTTTGTACATTTTCCGTATGTGGTTGTTATACTATATTCACATTTAAGAAATACCAAAATAAAAAATCAAACCTAAAACCTATACGCCTGGAATACAGCGCATTATAATAAACTGGAGAAAATAAGACTTGATTCTTAGTGACTGCTTTTACAGTGATTAAGATTGTGTACATTCTCACAGGATTTATAAATTAATCAGGTATAAAACCCAATTTGTCTTGACCTACCTACACACATACAAAACATCAGTCAGCAAAACATTCACTCATTTTACACCGGATAAAATCTGATGCCTTCCACAAGTATCCTAAAACCAGAAACAATATCCGGTTATCTGTACACTCGCTCCACACCAGATACAGTATCTGGCATCAAGTCTAAGAAGAATCACATTCTACAAATGATATTTCATTAAATAAATCTATCAACTGCTTTTGAAGTGAAAACTACAATAAACAAGACTTCCATCACTAAATGGATACATAATTTGACTTCACCTGCCACTCTAGCATGGACACGGCAAACAGACTCGGAAAGCAGACAAAAGACTTCAACGATTTAGCCATACGTTAAAAGACTTAAACTTAGGAAAGGATATATGCACATCGAAGTTACGGAACCCCCTTCCTGAAGGTCTCGTTGGCCGCCAGACCAACAGACTACCTCCTTTGGTTATAACTTTGGTTTTGATAGCCATAGCCAGTGCCCCATGCCTGCTGGTTGGGATTTGTGCTGGTCCAGTTGCTGTTCTGCTGTCCCCAGTTGCCGGGTGTGTTGGCACTGTTAGAGGGGCCATAGGACTGGTTGCCTCCGTATCCTTGCTGGTTTCCATAACCATAGCCCTGAAAAGATGTATTTTGTAATCAATAAACACTGAAGATATTTTTCCCTTTCTTTAAACATTACAAACATTAACCTGAACCCTATCATCAAACAGGCAGGAAAGCACCTACCTGACCCCAGTACGGCTGTTGCTGCTGCTGTTGCTGCTGCTGCTGTTGCTGCTGGTAGTACTGCTGGCTCCAGTTGTTGCCATAGCTTTGTGGGTAGTTCTGGTTGCTCCAGTTCTGGTTGCCCCAGCCCTGGTTGTTCCCGTAGCCACCGTAGTTGCCAAAGCCCTGGTTGCCTTGATTGCCCTGCTGGTTTGCCCATGGGTTAGTAGTAGAACTAGTGGAAGTGCTCTTTATGTCATTACTCTGCAGTAAGAAGAAAAGAGGAAGAAAAATACAAAAATAAGTCTACAACACAAGAAAGAGAAAATGAAAAAGACTTGGGGAGGAAAAAAGAAGGGATAAAAAAAGGAAAACAAAAATAAAAACGGTCTAAAAACGGACAGAAAAAAATCTACGATGGAGATTTATTTCAATTCCAAGAAGAGACTTCCTTTACTAACCGAGTTCCTGCTCCAATTGCTCTGGTAGTTCATGGATCTACCGCCACGATCGCGGTTGAAACCACCTCTGATATCGCGGTTAAAGCCACCACGGTTGTCTCTGTTGAAACCACCTCTTACATCTCTGTTGTAGCCTCCTCTGTTGTAATCGCGATTGTCCATGCGGTCTCTGTTCCAACCACCTCTGTCGTTGCGGCGATCATTGTAGCCTCCTCGACGATCGCGGTCCCAGGCACCACGGAAGCTACCTCCACGGTTCCCTAAAAGACAATTGCTAATGAAAAAGCTGCCGAGATGCACCGTCTAACTTCAACTCCATGTGTCCAACTTCAGTTAACTAAATGTTGCATGAAAACAAAACTAACCATAGCCTCCACGGCGGTCCATGAACCCACCACGTCTATCACCAAAGCCCCCTCTGAAGCCCTTCTTCTGGCCATACCCAGCATCTTCTCCCTCTTTGTTGTACTGCTCCACCAGCTTCAGGGCCTCCTCCCGCTGCATCTCGACGTACTCCACGGAATCAAACAGGTCTCCCTCCTCCGGCAGCTTGAAGTTGGCTGCGTGACAAATACTTCTTAATTTTGTGACATACACAAGGCACAGGAAAGGCTTTCACTGCTTAGCTTAAAAGAACGAGTTTTACAGAATGTGGAAAGCTTGCAAAGTCAAGCATTTAGATTTATGAAGGGGGGAAAAAAATTTTCAATGAAAGCCTCCCCTAGATGTAAACGACACGACGGCAGAAAAAAAAAAAAAAATTATAAAGTACAAGTGTACAGGCCAGTAGCAAGAGAGCATGCACCAAAACATTTAGGAAAACATAGGTTATTTGCCAATGGAAGAAGACAACACAGTGACAAGTCAGCCATGATAACCCATGGCCATTGTGGTTACCTACTTCTATTATTTACCTTTCATCTCTAGGACAGCCTTGTCAGGGACATCCTTGCCTTCCTCCCTCTCACGCTTCTCTGTTCGTTTCTTCAGGTCCTCATCAGTGGGACAAATAACAACTGCACGCCGTTTGAAGCCAGCAAAACCCTTCATTTTACGCCTCTGAGCCGATGGGTATACATTCGTCTGTTCCGTATCAAGGAGATAAACGAGAGCCATTAGGCACTTAGTCTTTTAGGTCCTGCCCGACCCTAAGGTCAGTCTGGCTGAGATCAGCCTAGTGTCCTCTGCAAAGACAGTCTGGAAGAACAGGTTAATAGCAGATTCCTCTGTTCCTCCCCCACCCTCCCCCCAGCTAAACTGTAGCATACGTACCTGGGCCAATGAGATCTGGACCTGCTGAAATGAGTAATCACTTCTTAATCTCATCAACAACTCCCTTCTATTTCCCCTAAGTGACTTACCTAAAGAAACATTCATTCTGTAATCAAAAACAATTAGCCACCCCTTTCAAAACCCTGCACCCTCCTCTAACAGAGCAATGTACTTCTAACACTTTCACTAAGATTATAAGGGAGCATTTCATCGCTAGAACACACAACTGGTCCTCCCCTGTGATAGCAGATCTATAAATATGCTTGATGTATAGTCAGCGGGAAGTTCTATTTTTCCTTGCATGTCACGTCCTAAGCAATATATAATAGGCCTAAAAGAAGCTCATCCTTACAGCCACTTCCTGCATCTCCTGATACAGATGTCAATACCAAAATTTCATTTAATTGCTGTCAGAAGCTTTAACAGAGCTTATATGTAATGAATCGAACGTTCTCTACCTCCCATATCAAGATGAGTACTATGCTACACAACAGTTCAACTTTGCTGGTAGAGACTTAACCATGCACAATCTTTCATTGCTTCACCTTTAATTGGCCCACTGCTTTAAACAACCCAATACACATTTGTAAGTATGCATTACGTATAGCTCATGACTGAACCACATTAACAAGCATGGTCTGTTGATCAACCAAGCCAGATCTTACATCAGTAATACTCAAAGCCCATCATTTTTTATAACCCACAAGTCATTCAAAGCCCAATACTCACTCTTAGGTCCAAGAGCTATCAATGGAGTCTAAACTCCATACTAAGCACTGACTACCACAAAATTTGCTTTTATTATAACTTTCAGATCATGCCTTAAACATTCTGGATTGGAGATATTTTTAACACACAGTAGGTACGCAAAGCACCAATTGACATTTGTTGAAACAAATTCAAATCAAATACAAAAAAATAAATCTAAGAATAAAACCACCTTTCAGTGAACCAATTTCCAAAGCTTCATAATCAATGTCGTATTTAAAATGAAGATCTCAAAAGTAGGATGGTGATAAAATACTCAATCCCTATCATTTTTACTTTTTTTTCTTTACACCATCTGTCATTCCAGATTTACCTCCAAGCATAACTGCATTCTTTAAACAAAAGGCTGTATTGTACATGAGGTTCTTGCATATTACATGTGTATATTCATACAGCTACTCTATTTACAGAAACCTTGCAAGGGAGATTACATAAAAATCCAAGTTATTTATCTTGATATTAAGGGTTCAAACTCCCACAATATCCCTATTTCTATATTGTACTTTATATAAAATGATCAAGATAAAAAATATACACTATATACAAATACAAGAAATCTGCAAACAATACAATTACAGGAAGTACAATAAAAAAAAAAATAATAATAAAAATTACATTTACTGTGCTATTCACATTTCAATTTTATTTTCATATACAGCCTTTTAAAGTAATCAGATTATCAACAAGGTCAAAATTGCTTGCATCTCCATGCACAATTTTGAAGCCCTTTATCAATTGTTTTGAACAGTTGTATACATTTCTTCCAATTAAAATTATGAAGCTAATGCAATTCAAAAAGTCAACACCCTTAAATTCACTCATTCACACTAACATTGATTAAAGCCACTTTCCCCTCCCTTTGATTTGCAGGAATTTTGAAATCTCAATTACACATACACCAACAGTTTAGAATCTCTTTCCATACCAAAAGGGAATGTCATCATAGCTCATTTAGTACTTGCACAATTTTGTCTCAGGTATTTTAAAGGACTGCACAAATTATGTTATACATAATGATGACTGCACTTTTAATGACTAAATGCCAACCTGCCTACTAGTAAAACCTTTCTTTGGATACATTTCATAATGCTGCATGTGCTAATATAAGAAAAAAAAAAATTCACAAACTATAGTTTGATAGTGGGGGGGAGGGTTGAATATCCTTTAAAAAGAAATTGATACCACAAAATATTTACTTTGAACCTGAATAAATAGCTTTCAAAGAAAAACTATTCACTGCAGTCCATTATATATCTATCAATAATACATACATGTCACCCATTATCCAATATTTCAGGGAATTCAATTATTCCTAAACTGCCACTTCCTTATCAGCCACCAATTATTCCCACTATGACGACATTTTAGTTCACACAATCAGCCCATGCCATACTGAATGACCAAACATTCAAAATAATGCATAGATCTATTACAGTTATTACTGAAACTGTTCAGATGTGTTCAGCGAGATTTGTAATGCCACTATTTGCATTCCTGGATTTGTGACCTGACCAACAAGTCTTGTATCCAATAGCAGGAATGGGCAAGACAAAACTCATTTCTTGAGCTACTTGCTTAACATACTGAACAGGAGTCTTTGTTGTGTTCATCTTCCATTTACACTTTCTTATCTATCAAATTCCGCACACGTAATACAAGAATTCATTTATTCTAGCCTTGAAATGAAAAATTTAAAGAATTCCACCAAGTAACATTTACCTTTTTAATAACTAGAATAGAAAAGATAAAAGCACATTATATACAACTTTTACTACCATATTTGTCAGATAGCTCCCTGCTGGTTAAATTCAAAGGCGGCTTACAGCAAACTGTAAACACCAAGATCAGCTTGTCACAAATGTATTGCTGAACAGCACAAGTGTTTTTGCCTGGCTTGAAAATGCATGCACTGCTCAACCCAAAGCTGGAAAATGGTATAGTTTGCAAGCAAGCCACTGAAGTCATGTAAATGCTCTAATTTGTAATATTTTCTTTTCATCGGGAAACACTGATCAGGCCCCTAATCTCTCCCAATTTTATGGGTAAAATAGATTTCTCCTCCCATTTCTTCACGAAAATTCCTATCAGATAATGGGGATTACTTGTATGACAACTTCAATCACTCCTATTTCAAATACATGGGCAAAAAAAAAAAAAATCATTTCTTAGCTACTTGCTTAACATACTGAACAGGAGTCTTTGTTGTGTTCATCTTCCATTACACTTTCTTTCAAAGTCGACGCCACGTAATACAAGAATTCATTTATTCTAGCCTTGAAATGAAAAATTTAAAGAATTCCAACAAGTAACATTTACCTTTTTAATAACTAGAATAGAAAAGATAAAAGCACATTGTATACAACTTTTACTACCATATTTGTCAGATAGCTCCTGCTGGTTAAATTCAAAGGCGGCTTACAGCAAAACTGTAAACACCAAGATCAGCTTGTCACAAATGTATTGCTGAACAGCACAAGTGTTTTTGCCTGGCTTGAAAATGCATGCACTGCTCAACCCAAAGCTGGAAAATGGTATAGTTTGCAAGCAAGCCACTGAAGTCATGTAAATGCTCTAATTTGTAATATTTTCTTTTCATCGGGAAACACTGATCAGGCCCCTAATCTCTCCCAATTTTATGGGTAAAATAGATTTCTCCTCCCATTTCTTCACGAAAATTCCTATCAGATAATGGGGATTACTTGTATGACAACTTCAATCACTCCTATTTCAAATACATGGGCAAAAAAAAAAAAAAAAAAAAATTTAATTCAACGAAATAAGCCTCTTCCTACTACTTTATATAGTAACTTCCCACAAACAATTTTAATCCAATGAGGTCGAACATCAGAAATCTGTCAAACACAGGTGATTTCAGGCAACGTCCAGATGCTGGGCACAGGAGTCCGCTACATGAAGCGCATCTTCCTGCACCATGCGCTCTGGCACATCACCGCGCATACAGCCGTACCCCTCAGACCCAAGCAGTTTGTTATGACAGGTGTACACATGACCCGTCGGGATGGATCAATTAAAGAAATCAAGCACAAAACATTGCAACCACCAATAAATGGGAAGCAGATGGAATATTAGCTAGTTAAAAAAAGCCCAACAAAGAAAATCAATACAAGAGCAACAAAGAATAAGAAAAAGTGTTTATGCAAGCATTCTCCAGTGTTGCTCAACCCTTAAGGTTTGCCAATTCCTACATCTTAAAAATTGTGCTTTATAAAAACCACGACCTAAGGTGCCATATTCACAGTGTTATTGTTTAAATTTATTTACTGTGACAGTGCCTAATAGTAAATAATTCACTGAAACAATTCATGAACAAGTGTCCTCATTATATTTTGTAAATTTTTAAATACACATGTGTGAATGCATAACTTTATCTGCACATGTATATTAATAAAAATGCATGTGATTGCAAACATGCATGCATGTGCAAATACAGGTAAGTAGGTACATGTGTAGGTAGGAAGACCGTTGAACGATTAAGTAGGAATATATTTGAATGAGGAGGAGGAATATATTCGTCTACCTAGGTACAGATAGATGTGTGTCCATGCCCATATGTGCCTGTGCCAGTCCTTTATATTTACACTAACATACATTTGTACATTCCACATATACCAAGACAAACATACAAAACATCAGTATCACATCTCAACTTGCAACACCTCTAAATGTAGCTTAAGAAGGACAAAATGCTAAGTGCTGCCAATCAATTTATTAATCTTTATCAATGAATGTAGGGTACCCCAAAATAGAACTCTTTTTAATCCTCTCAGAGATTGTTTTACAAATTCTCGTACTGTAAAATACTATTGTTCCAATCTAAATCTTCACACATTATTATCCATCTTGCCATACTAAGTCTTTCAGCTTCTCAACCATACTGGTGCATATCAAACGTTTTGCAATATGTTGCTTGGTGACTGAATATTTCATCATCAAGCAAAGTTAACTGAACAGAAGAAAAACAATACAACTAATGAATCACTTGTGCTATTACAAAATGTTTAGCCTAACACCTTTATCAAAATTAAACAGATAAAAATGAAGCTATTAAATCCCGAAGTAAAAATTTCCCCTTTTGTAACCACACTGCAATTAAACTAGAAAAATACCTCAAAGCGATATTCTTCATATAAGTAAAAGCCCTAGAAACAGAACAATCAATGAAATATTTATTAAATACTAATACCATCAAAAGGACATTATGCAGGTACTCCATCACCCCCCATTCCACAAGCAAATATATACGCAAGCCAAGAAAGGACAATTGCCAGACAATAGGACTAATCATCCACAACATTAGTACATCAGCTTTTCCTTTGTTTTTTTACCAAGATTTTTTTTTTTAGTTTTATGATAAATAACATTTCTGCTATGCATGGTATCTTGTTGAGACATACAATTTACCTGTAGTATGTGCTTTTTTTTTTTTTTTTAGTCAACTTCCAATTTTTCTTTAATAGAAATGCACTCATGCATTTAAGAGTTTGCTCTCTACCCTGAAGCTTTTGCTATACCATTTAAAAACTGAACACTGACTATACATCAAACACACCATGATCCTGTTCCCTCTCAGTCCTATCATAATATTCTCATACCTTCCATACCTACAATACTGAAGTCCCTCTTCACATAAAACGGCAATGTATTGCTCATATTTTCAGCCACCCCATAATCTTAAAGCCTAAAATGTATAAACTCCAATATTATAATGTCTATAAACTTAATATTTTACCTGTTAATTCTCTGAAGATATTTTTTTTTTAAAGACTATAATACCTTAGGAATTAAAATCCACCTTTCGATTCTTAAGATCACTAATTGCCTACCTAAAACTTATTCATATCCTAAAACAAAAAAAAATAAAAAAAGAAACATTAGTTATCCTCTAGTTGACCTTTCCAGGCTGAACAAATTACCACTACCTTACCTGTGTGTTGGTCTGCAGGTGCTGGGAGTGAAAAATACAAAAAGTGGACATACCTCGAACGCTTGATGATATGGACCTGAAAATCCCAGGACACTTACCTTGTAAATCCTGAAAGGCAAAGTAATTATTAGTTGACCTACCTTGGGAAAACCTGGATCACGCTGCCTCAGTTCTTCTCTTACTTACCTTTCACTTTTTTTATTCAGCTGGACACTATAATAACTGGGCTTCCTTCCTCTATCCCTACATGATTTCAAGTTCCAAACTTGCGTACAGAACCAGAAATCAATGAGGGATAGTCTTTCCTAATCAATGTACAATATCAGGAGAGGAAAGGCACGCTTTTCTCACCAGATAAAGACACTGAGCAAGGACAAATCCTATACTCCTACCAAGAGAGGTTCTACCTCCAGTCTTACCTGATCGATGATGAAGTTGCGTCTGCGCTTGTAAGCAAGCTCCAACAACTTGTTCAGGCATCTTGTGCAACGTTCAATCAGGACTTCCCAACGGCCAGAATAGTTGCGTCTTCTTGGCAGTCCATTCACTTTCATTTTGTCAATAAGACTGTTTGTTCCAAGGACATTGTACTTCTTTTCTTTGTTTTCTTTGCAATATGTATCCACCCAAGTGGTCTTTCCAGCTGCAGGGAGGCCAACCATCATGATGATCTGGGGAAAGGCAAAATTATCAAATTCCTTAAAAAAAAAAAAAAAAAATGCTTTTTCAATCCTGAAAGACTACTGAAGTCAGTTAAGGGGTAGTAATTGTAAGAGGGATACATCTCCTTAGCAAACTTTCATTTTTTTGATGTCCTAAGTTGGAGGTCTACACACAGTATAACAAGACTATTCTTGTAACCTATTAAACAGGCACTTTCCATTTATATAAACAGCACAAGTCATTGACATTTTACACACCTTTCTGAAACATTATCTTGCAAATTAAAACAATCATTATCGGTAAACTAGATCAAAGAAAAAGAAAACAAGCCAATTACAGGTTAGTCTTTAAACTTCATTATTTTCTTTCCATTCCTGCAAGATATGCCTTTGCACAGGGCATTCGCAATTTACCAGTCACATAATTACTCGGCAGTGGTCTCTTCCCATAATTTTGGCTGCAGTGGCTCTTCCCATAATTTTGGCTGCTATGTAGGGGGATATTTCCAAACAACTACACTTTCATCCTCACATAAAACATTCTAACTGATGTCCTCTATACCTGTCTAACTCCCAATACTATAACATTCTATTTTTGCAATCCGTCAATTCTGTACATCCTGACTTGCAACATTCGCAGGACTCAAGGAAGAGGAGACTGCAAGAATAAAACAAGAAGAGGTCTTAACTGACCATGTAATAAAGCCTCAGGCTTGCACAATGCACATGAAGAGAAAGAAACAAATTAAATCTTACTTTTCCTATCTTTCAAGTACAATCACAACTGCTATACATTATTCTTTATGGGTTAACACGAAGTAAAGAAAAAAGGATAGGTGAAAAAAAAATTATATGACCTACCTCTGCTTCCTCTCTCTTCTCAGGTCCTTGGGTGCCTAGAACACGATCTTCAAGTGGAACCTTTCCAACAAAAGTATAGCCTGTAAGTGGCTCACACCATGGATCTTCTGTTCCAAAATTGACCTGAGGAGAAATTTAACAATTATATTTTTCACATTAACAATTCACTCATCAGTCATTACTTTGAGAGGCATATTGAAATCTTTAAAATCTTAAGATACTAACTTAACAAATACATACCTTGAAAGTCATATTCTTTGTTACAATATGAGGGAACATGGCCCTGTCTCCAAGTTCTGAATGCTGGATTTCATAGGCCATGCCTTGGTGCTCTCCATTGACTGTGAAGGACATCACCATCGGCTCAGACTCCATGTCTAAAAAGCAGCCAAGAACATCGCCTTTGCCAAAGGTTTTTCCATAATCCTGTTTGTGAAGAAATTGAAATTTTATCATAATTAGCAATGTATACGTGTACATATAAACAACCAAATACAAATATTAAATACAAATACAAATTAACCATAATTACAATTATAATGCTAGTTCAAAATATAAAACTATACAAATGTATAAATATAAAAATCTACATAACAGGAAAGGGAGAAAGATGCTCACCTTGAACCTAAGGTTGGTTGAGGCTTTACCAGTGCCACCATAGCCATAGCTGAGAGGATCTTCTCCAAGGGTAAGCCCGGCTTCATCAACAGACCATCCAACACGTAGAACATGAGGGTGCTGTTCATCCTCCAGCTGGGGGACAGGCAAATTGTCTTCACACTTGACCTCAAAGAACACTCGGCTCCGTGTGAAGCCATAGGTTGCTCTGACACCATGCCAGACGTAGCCAAAGCCTTGCATTGTGAGAGGCTTTGCAGAGAGGAAGTTTTCCTTTTCAATGATGAGAGACAAATCTGAATTATCTGTATACAAAAAGAAAATGCACCTTTAGTATGTTTGTTTTTTGCTGCTGCACTAGTTATTTTCAAAGCTAGCTTCAAAATCTATACCACAGAAATTATAAATAGAAATAAATGCCCCTCTAATAATCAAAATATGTGTTACACTGTGGGCAGGAGTCATTGTACTTATAAAACAGGCTTATTATGATGGCTGTGTTATTAGACTTTCTGGCACACAGGGGTAGCAGGGGGCCCACTAATCTAATACAATAACTTTTCCCACTATGAAATACAAGAACTTAAATTTGCACAAGTAAAACTTAAAAATTTTAAGTTTTTTTTATGCAACTGGGAATACAGCTAAGATAGTTTTGTAGTTAGACCAGCAGTTTAAATAAACCTAATTTTTAATAACAAGTTCTGAAAATCAATTTGATAGGATAGCACATAAATGTAAAATTAGAAAAATCTCAATTGCAATGTACTTACACCAATCAAGAGCCACAACAGTCTTATCAAAGTCTGGCTCATCTTCAATTCTAACTTCTTCCACCTCAGGCCGAGACTTTTTGTGGTCAGGTGATCGAGAACGTGAATGAGATCTCTTTTCTCCTCTTCTTCCATCTTCGTCCTCTTCAGCTGCATCCAGTGTTTCTGCCTTTGGTTCAACCATCTCATCTTTAACTTCCATCTCAAATCCATTGTCCTGTTCCATCTTCACATCTGAAAATATTAAATTATATGTAGCTCAAGGTTTATGGGTTTAGTTTTTCATAATAAAACCTTTTTTTATAACGAACCTAAAATGCTGAAGAAATTGTTGCTTTTCCTCAATATATTTTTAACGAAAATAAGGATTCCCTAAACTCTATGTATTGTAAGTGAGATATTGACATCAAAGTCATATAATGGATAGGTCAAAACAGTCAAAACCCTCATAAGGCTATAGGATGCACATCACCTTTTACTTTAATCCAGACTGGCAATAAAGACATTTTAAATAAACATTTTTGCTTACCAAAATCTTCCACAGGTGCTGCTTCATAGCCAAGTTTTGCAGAGTCTTCAGGCTCTTCCTTAATGGCAACTGCAGGCTCAGTCTGACCCTGTGGAGTGGGTTTCTGAGGTGAGACTGCCTTTTGTGGAGAGGCCACTTTCTGAGGGGATGCTGCTGGTGCCTGTGAGGCAGGTTCAGGCTGGGTCTTCTGTGGAGACTGCACTGGTTCTGGCTGGGCCTTCTGGGGTGAGGGTGCTGGTTTCTGGGGCGAGGATGCTGGTTTCTGGGGCGAAGGGGCTGGTTTCTGGGGTGAAGGTGCTGGTTTCTGGGGGGAGGATACAGGTTTCTGCGGTGAAGGTGCTGGTTTCTGGGGTGAAGGTGTGGGCAAGGGTTGTGCTTTTTGGGGAGAAGGTGCTGGTCTTTGTGATGGGGAGGGTTCTGGCTGGGCCTTCACTGGGGACTGCACTGGTTTCTGGGGCGAAGGAGTGGGTCCCGGCTGCACTTTTTGTGGAGAGGGAACAGGTTTCTGGGGAGAAGGAGTGGGCACTGGCTGCACTTTCTGTGGAGAGGGTGCAAGTTTCTGGGGAGAAGGTGTGGGCTCTGGCTGTGTCTTTTGTGGGGAAGGTGCTGGTTCTGGGGCTGGGGGAAGGAGTGGGCTCTGGTTGCACTTTCTGTGGAGAGGGTGCTGGTCTCTGGGGAGAAGGAATGGGCTCTGGCTGTGTCTTTTGTGGGGAAGGTGCAGGTACGGGTGCAGCCACAGGTTTTTGGGGCGAAGGGGTGGGTTCTGGCTGTGCCTTCTGTGGGGAGGGGGTAGATTCCTTAGGTGGCAGGACCTCCTCTGGCTCAGGAACCTCGGGTATTGCAGGTTCAGGAGTCTTCTTTCTTGGCGTAGGCGCTGCATCTGGGCCTCTCTTCTTTGGTGTAGCAGCTGCTTCTGGCGACTTCTTTCGTGGAGTTCCTCTTACACTCCTCGGTCTAGTCTCAGGCTGAGGCTCGGGTTCAGGTTCAGGTTCGGGCTCTGCTTCAGGTTCAGGAGCCCCCTCTGGATCCTCTGCTCTCTCTCCCTCAACAGCAGGACGCTCCACTGAGTCGCCATCTAGAAATCAGGAGGGAAAATTTTATCCAAGCCTTTATACCTCTCCAAATATGGAATGTCATATTGTATCATTACATAAAGTAGCTTGTACAACATACAAAACTTTTTTAAATACAATACAAAGATACCTAACACAAATTGCAGCCTAATTTGTTTTTACTCTCAAAATCTAAATCTTAAAAATTAATGACAATAGCAGTAATAAATAACTTATTAATTGCAATAGTATAACTAATGCTTGTACTCCAGGATGAGAACCAAAAATGACAAATTTAAATTTTATCATAACTCTTACTAGGGCCAAGGATCTATCAGTGGATGAAAAATGTAAGCAATCAAGAAGGTTATCTAGTACAATAACAACAGGTATTCATTCATTGTGTTAGAAAGGTCATAGTCAGGCACTCCTCTATTTATAGTTATATTTAAATAATTAATATAGGCATACTCTTGGAGTGCACTTTTTTTTCTACATTTATGCAGAAGATACAGATGTACATTTTTTAAATGTGGCGTAAAATGATCTCTATACTTTAACCAAACAATTTTATTTCACTAGGCAGCCTATGACAAGACTAAACATAGCTATTCATTATCACAAATCATTTCTTAAATTGCCAAAACAGCATAGATTAATGTTAAGGTTCTGTTAGAGTCATCAACCCATCTTATGTTTTGCTCAAAATATAACTAATCTTAACCCTTTGATGAAGGGTGAAGAAAACTAGACAAAACAAACTACGCTCTGAAGATCAATGACAACGTGCCGACTTTGAGCGCAGGAGTTTGGTACATCAAGCCGAATCACCGGCTCATTGCACTATGGCACACCACTGCAGCATACAGCCACACACCACAGATTGAGTGGTTTGTTTTGACACCTCACGGCGTGACCCTTCAGGAAGGGGTTAATATCCATCCAGGGTTATCAAAGAATCATGGTTCTAAAGAATTTTATGAACTAATGTATTACAAATTATGAAGAAAACAATTGCATATTGTAGAAGAAAAACAAAGGTCATGGGACTAAAGAATATAATTACTGATAATCATTACCAATAATAATTATTCATTGTTTATCAAAAGATTTGTGACAATTATTGATAATCATAAATTAGAATGAAAGACTGATTTGCATATACAATTACCATCTTCAATAAAGTAGTGCATATAAAATATATAAAACTTAGGATAATCAACATTCTCAACAAACAGGCAATCGCATAACAGCAAAGTTACCAAGTATTGGATGGATACTAATACTAGTACCAGCAAACTTCTCATAATGAGTACTGAAATTTCATATATCCAAGTTAGTAAAGTCAAGGCTGACCAAATATAGTAATAACACTAGTGGTAGTGAACTAATACAACTAATACAACTTCCAAATCTGTCTGGACTCTTGCACTCTCAATACTCCAAAAACATTCAAGGCTATGTGTTTTTTTTGTTTTGTTTTTTTTTATCCACTTGGACATTATTTCAAATAGGGAACCAACCCTAGCTGAACTAGGACAATCCAACTACAATATAAAATGTGGTTTGTTGGCTTTTGCCAAAGCACTAAAGGGTAATTAAGCCATAGCTACTGCAAGTGGTCAGACAGCTACCACCTGTTATGAAAATATGATCACACCTATTTTAGAAGAGCTATAGCATTATAATCTATGCCCCTCCCCCTCCATTGAGATCAATATTGGCCTTGTGGTTGTTATTATTATACAGAATAACTAATTAAATATAAGGAACCTATCTGTACTCAATACATTTTTAAGACCCATTCATACAATCTTAAAAAAGCTTTCAATAAATATTTGTATAAAATAGATTCCCACGAGCCAAATGTAATTGGATATAGTACCATTTTTTAAATGCTGAACATCTTATCCATAAAAAATTAAATCCCAGGGCATAGTTTTGGTAGAAGTCAATCTGGTTTTCACCCTAAAGAGTATGGAATGATTTTACTTTGGTGATAACAGACATTTCATTATATCCTGCACAAATCACAAGGATAAATACTACTCTAACCACAAATCAATGCAATCTGTCAAGTAGTTCTTGTAGTAATACATTCTTGAAAACAATTACTTCATCATTATCATCAACACCTACTCTTCCAAATATATGCAATTTTCAAATGCATTCCAAACTATTATACTTGTAATGCATTTCAACAATTAAATCTAGGGTATTGTGAAGTATTATAGATCTTTTTCTTTATCATTAAATTTTTACCCAATTCCCCTCATAATTACCCAGATATACTTCATGCTTTTCCCCTGCTATCTGGATTACAAGATTCAGATGGTCAGCCAAGTTTGTGACAGAAATCAGATTCCTTCTCATTACATGACACTAAATCTGATAAATATTGTCAGAGACCCAAAAACCAAATATACTTTCAATATTTACCAGAACTAAAACATTTAGCACTGGATATCCGAGAAATTAGCTTTAATTCTGCTCTCCAAATGGTAACATTCTACATAATTGAGAGATTAACTATTCCTGACTTTTCTCTCGACATTCCAGTCAACTGACAAATAAAGACGCCCATCTCATACACCCAACAAACCGTCACATTACATTTTGCCCTGCCTATCCAAATGACGGCTTCCACTGACTCAACCTTGGCGCAGGTAAGGCCTAAAGCATTTGCATCAACTCAAAGTAACATTTCTGTTGTCCCTGTTAAAATATCTACTTATAAGAGCTCTTGAAAACCTCATTGGCTACTTATTGTCGAATTAGGAACAGGTCCATGGCTCTCCCTCGCCAGCAAATGCACGACAGACCTATGTTAACCTTTGCTGAAACACCGTGGATGCAGAAGCCTAGAAGAATGCTCGATTCCTCCACAATTTGGTATATTGTCTAGTTTTAGTTTCCCACAGCTCTGGGGTACAGAGTATACTGTACATCCAAGAGAAAACCTCAAAAACAACTATCAGCCCCATGAAATGCCAAAAAAATTTAAAATACCAGATATATCAACACAATCCCACCACAACAAAGTCCCAAATACCTTTGCTTTCCAAACAAATACTACAGAAATTAACAATATTAATGGAAATTAACAAAAACCAAGAACCTTTTCAAATAAAACTATCAATCCTACAAATTCAAATCCTACAAGAAAAACTCCGCCTAAAGGACCACAAAAAAAAAGCCAAACACCAAAATTATGAAGAAAACAGCCAAAAACAGCCAAAATTACGGCGAAATAAATCAACCAATTGACATTAAATGCCGTTTCCCGTCACCCCCCCCCATATCCTCTTCCTCCCTCCCCCCCCTCTCCAGAAACGCGCCAAATCACATCCTTCAAATGTTTACGAAGAAAAAAAAAACGTCCGTCTTAAAAAAAAAATATCACGAAAATTTATGGAAACCCGTTCGTTCGATATAACAAGAAAGAACTAGAAATAAGAACAAGAAAGATAAAAAGGAAGTGGATTTATCAGCGAGAAAGAGAGAGAAGAGGAGGAAAGCGAGAGGCTCGGGTTCCCGCCATTGCCAGACAAGAAAAAAAAAAAGAAAAAAGAATACGAAATTCTCCTCCATTTCGCTGTCAAAATCCAAACCTCTCCTTCTCTTCCCTTAAATTCCTCCAAGAAGGGGATATCCCCAAGGGCGCCATGACCCAGGACCGACGGAGCCGGGCCGCGTGACGGGGATCCGAGAAAGAGCGGGAAAAGAGGAGAAAAATGGAGAAAAACGGAGAAAAAGGGCGAAAAATGGAGGGAAAGCGTCCCCCCGCACCCACCTTGGGCCTCGAGCGCCTCCCGCAGCCTCTCGATGAGCACCGGCTTGTTTCCCTTGGTGGAGAGGCCCCTCGCCTGCAGTTCGGCGCGCAGCTCCGTCACCTTCAGCTTACTCGGGTCGAGGAGGTCACTCATGGCGTCTCGCGGTGCCGGCGGCGTCCCTGCGCTTCAAAATTCTAGGTGGAAGTGAGCCTTTCTCCGACGCGACCGCCAGCCACGAGCGGAATGATGGCGTCGGGCGGGCAGGGCGGCGTGGGGTTTGAATGCCGCGCGCCCATTGGCTGGCTGGCCCGGCTCGGAGGCGCTTGGACGGGGGATCTCGGTTCTCATTGGTTGGAGAGCGTTGGGGGGGGGATCTCGGTTCTCATTGGTTGGAGAGCGTTGGGGGAGATGATCTCGGTTCTCATTGGTCATGGCGCGTCGGGGGGAGGATCTCGGTTCTCATTGGTTGGAGAACGTTGGGGGGGGAAGGAGGAGGGTTCCGATTGGCTGAGCGGGAAGCAAACGAGGTTGTGATTGGTGGGTTGAGACCAAGCCGGGACGTTTTCGTGGAATCTTTTTTTTCTTCTCTTTTTAGGGGGAGTTGCGTTCGGCCTGATTTGAAGGGGAAAAAAAATCGCTTTCGAGATGACAGATGAGATGATGATTTATGTCTCCTAAACACTTCTTCTGAAAATAGTGCGGATGAGCTATATACACCTACGGAGCTGATCGATGATTTGCCAATCAGAGGAATAATGAAATGTCACTTTTCATCAATACCAAGAAGAGCTACTTCTTTATTGACTCCCTCCGTCAACCTCGCCGAAATTGGAAGGCTTAAAAAAAAAACAGGAAGAATATCTTGAAATCAAACACCAACACAAATTACCACGACACCGCAAATAAAAACTCTAAAATACGCAAATCCCACGAACATAGCAAATCCCGCTAAAATACTTGAGCGTATAAGTACCGCGACACCTTAAGAGATGCAACAAACGACACATTAAAAAAATACCACAAAATTAATAAATAGCGTAAAATACCAGACTACACCAAATAATACCCTGAAATATACTTAAATCCCATGAATAGAGCAAAACTACGCTAACACCAAGCGGAAAAGCGCCCCCAAAATACTTCTCGAAATCCATAAACCATCGGACATAAAAATACCATCACATCATAACCCCGAGATAAAAATACCCCCAAACAAAATCAACACAAATAATTAACCATGAATAATGCCATACCCACAAACACATATAATAACCACGAATAACGCCATACCCCACAAAAGTAGCAAAGACCGCTAACATCAAGCGGAAAAGCGCCCCGGTTACCTTTTTGACATCCGCTAACCAGAAGGAAAACATTACGTGGCCGAAGGAGAGACAACGAACCCGATTATGTGAATTTATGTGATTTTTATGTGATCTTTGTCATTTTTCTTGGTAAGAGTTGGATGTACGGGTGTCTGTCTGATGTTGGATGTGGCGTTCTGTTCAATAATCGTTCCGGAAGAAGGAACATATGGATGGAAGTGTTAACTGAGTGTTCATTAACTGAGTATTAATTACTTAGGTGTTAATTAACTGAGTATTAAGTACTTAGGTGTTTCATTGTTCGTGTTTTCTGGTGGATTTTGTGGTGAAATGAGAAAAGTTTGCGTTTTTATAGAGGAATGTACTCTCTTTTTTCACCTGTTAATGAGCTTGCGTGTATCTTGTGTTTTTTTTTTTCTATTAATTTCTTCTTCCTCTTTATTTTTTTTCTTTCGTTTTATGCAATGGATGAATGCAAATGAATACCAACTGTTGCTTTATTTCACATATTGTCCTAAATCTATAAAGGGTTACATTTAATCATGAAATTTTTAAAGTCAGTATTCTGTCAACGATGAGAAATATAAATTAATCTTCGCAGATTTAAAGGCCGTTTGGGACTTTAAGATTTTATTTGCAAGACGGAGAGAATTTTGAGATTAATTACAAGAATAGGAGAAGGAGGATTAAGTATTTAATTTATTAGTAATGGATAATTATAAGCTTTATTTCCTGACTGTAAATTTGATTTTGGTAATGATTAGGAACTTGGACCTTTGGGGTTACATTCGCTTTCATTTACATTTCGAAAGTATTGCAGTTATATGGGTTAGGAGGTAAGGTATTCAGAAATAGTATTTCAAAGACCTACTTTATGTCAAGCCTGAAGGAGTCTTAATTGTAGAAAAAGTCATTTAAGCTAATTCTGAAATTAAGAGAGAAAAATAACTCAGTAACAATATTTGTTTGTTTTTTAAGCTACATAATAAAATCAAGCTGTATATTATCACATATAAGAATAGTGTTTTTATTGATCTTGATTCCTTGGAAGCATGAATATGGTTAGTTCTTGTTTTGTTGTACATTATTTGTACTTGAGAAAAGATATTAAGATCCAAGAAACATATTATAAACCTCAGGAACAGAGTTATTTGATTTTCTTAGAAATTGTATTTGATTTTTTTTTCTCTCTTCTTTTTCTTTCTTGCAGTTATATGGGTTAGGAGGTAAGGTATTCAGAAATAGTATTTCAAAGACCTACTTTATGTCAAGCCTGAAGGAGTCTTAATTGTAGAAAAAGTCATTTAAGCTAATTCTGAAATTAAGAGAGAAAAATAACTCAGTAACAATATTTGTTTGTTTTTTAAGCTACATAATAAAATCAAGCTGTATATTATCACATATAAGAATAGTGTTTTTATTGATCTTGATTCCTTGGAAGCATGAATATGGTTTAGTTCTTGTTTTTGTTTCCTATTTCAGCAACATGAACTTTGCAGTTGGTATTTGGTATCTTAGGAGAGCCTGAAATGCATATAGGATTTTTGTACATTAATTTGTACTTGAGAAAGATATTAAGATCCAAGAAACATATTATAAACCTCAGGAAACATAGTTTATTTGATTTTCTTAGAAATTGTATTTGATTTTTTTTTTCTCTCTTCTTTTTTTCTTTTTCTTTTCTTTACCAAACATCAACAAACAATACATGAAGTTGTCATGCATATTGTGAGTATTTTTAGACCTATCTAAAAATGAAGAGAATTCATTATGCTGAAATTTGAAGGTACATTTTCAGACAAGATATATAAATATTCTTTTGTTTACTTTGATGTCAATTAGAGAAAGAAGTCATATTTTAAGTAGTTGCCTGTAATTATACAGATACACCTTTTTTAATGGACAGTAGAAGCAGCAACTCTGTGATTGTTTACATTCTCTTACTACAGTTTAAATGGATTGGAACAAACCTCATTATAAACATTAGTTCACCATGTATGAAATTTTGGCCTTATTCAAGAAGGCTTTTAATGTTTTTGTACAGATATAACTGTGAGATAACTGAATATCACAACAATAGTTATAATTAGCATAGTATTTTTATCCAATTTGTAGGTCATGTATAGGTTATCTGGGGAGGAAGACTGTGCCTGAGGCTGTTATGGAAGGTGAGGACAGCTGTATGACATTCCAGTAAATGTCATGATGTAATTAGAAATGAGTAAAAAGGATTTGGCATATAATATTTAGAGAAATAAGATTGTTATAAAATTCTTATATATTGATACGCTATATATTTTGTACACACTTATATGCACACATACATCTGGGACCAGGCAAAAGAATATTCAACAAGAGTTTGATGGTTGCTAGTCTTAACAAAAATTCAACTGTGCTCAGGGTACACACACACAGTCACATTTGTCTGTAAGTGCTTCTTTGGCCTGAAAGGTTTTCAGTCAAAAACAAAACCATAACAATCTGAAGACTTTGTAACTCTGTCATTGGTACAACTCAGGTCAGAATAGAATTTCATACACATATCTTCGCTAGACACATCCTGTTAACCTTAGGTACAACGTGCACCCTCCCCTATACTATTGACATACCCCACAACCTGCCTATATATACTCTGTCATCCATAACCTGTGTTGGTGTGTTTAGTATTGTGTGTTTACTGTAACAACATTCATGAATAAAACTAAAATTCCCCATATGGTAACTAAAGCTTTAAATGAGGTTTTCTCTAGTCCCTTCAAAGTGTAGGTCTAGTACAAGAATAAGCAATCACAGAGTTGCTATTTCTTCTGCCCTACGCAAATAGATGTATCAGGTGTAAGTACAGGCAGCTGTGTATGGCTTCACCTAAAATATTCTGATAGGATAGAACTTGGACTGATTCTTTAGTTGATGATGAATCTCCAGCCACAGTTGATACAGTACCACTTGGTGATGTTTACATAAGAGCTGCACTATGAACTTATGACTGCTTTGTTGACATACAACTAATTAGCTTGGTTGTTGTCAATGGATGGATTGAATGCCCAAGTATTGTTCTTTTGCCAGATTGTGGCACTCTTTTCCTCAAATAGAATTGCAGTCTAAAGTTTATTATTGGGTGACAGAGTAGGTTTATATATTAGATAACTCTTTTCATTTCCAGTTGGTGCTGGACTTGATAAAGTGTCAAAATCTTTAAAGTATCTATTGAGTGCATATACTATATATAGTCATATCCATGGTTATGATATGCCTTCAAAAAATACAATTTTGAAAAAAAAACATGTCCCTGAAAAGGAATTCTACATCTTACATTGTGAGATTAATTTTCACTTTCCTTTTTATTCATGCCTCTCTACTCTCTATAATTATTTTACTTATTCCTTCAGTTATTTTCTTGATGTATTACCTTCACATGTAACAGTGAGATCGCTTGTTCCAGATCGCGTTGTCACAAGCAAGAGTTTCGACCAGAGCAGCATGGAGGGATGGTAACACTTATTCTCCCCATCTGTAATATCCCTTTTTTGAAAGAGGTAGGACTGTTTCTTTGAATGTGTGTATTTCTTTATAGAGGATTTAATCTCATTTTCTTTCTTTCTACCTAGTGTCTTGTTTTTTCCATAACATGGAAAAGTTAGGATAGGCCAGTACCGTGGATATTATGCCTCTGTTGTTACTAATCCATTGCCAGTGTGAATGGCATTTACAATTTTGTCATGCCTACAGATGGCTCCACAAGTGCTTAGTCAGCAAGGAGTCAATTGCTAGTCTTACCTATCCCTTCTGTTTACCCTTTTCCTTTCCTTTTTGGAATTTATATATACATACATGCATGCATACATGCATGCATGCATACATACATACATACATACATACATACATACATACATACATACATACATACATACATACATACATACATACATATATATATATATATATATATATATATATATATATATATATATATACTGTTAGTATTGTTAATAACAATGTAATTATAATGTTATTAATGATAAAACATTGTCAGTATTGATTGCTTCTGAAAAAAAAGCACAAGGAAAGAGTGGTCTACTAATAGACTCCTTGGTGGACTTGCATGTGAGGTGAAATCTATGCATCATAAGCATTATAGAAGTGTAAACAGCAAGATAAAACCTCAAATCCTATACTGGAAACTCTGTGCTCATCAAATTTCTGATTTCACTGATGTAGTGACTTTGGTGTTATTAATAATGAGGGCTGGCAAAGTACCTTTTCTTCCAACAGAGCACCTTAAGATGACGCGACTGAAGGCATGGTGGGTGGTCCTCCTGGTGACCCTTGCTTGTGTAGTGCTGGTGTCCGCAGAAACAACACCAACAACGGTAAGTTTTAAGATTTCAAAGTTGCTCCTTTCTCACCTTCCCTCCTCTTTGACTCCTTCCTTCTGCCTCCACACGTTCCCAGTTAACCATAACCTTTCGTGTTAAATTCCATAAAGGATAGAAAATGCATACTGATTATTCAGAGAGCTGGGTAGAGTGGATTCAGTGCCTTAAAATCTCCGGCTGTTTACTGTGTTAGTGTATAAAGCTACAAAATACAGTTTTATCTTTTGTAATATTTTTCCCCATTACCCTTTCTTATCTCATACTCTCTTGATTCTCAAATCTCAGGCATTCTCTTGTTGCACTTTTCCAGCTAATCAGTGCTGATGACCAGGAACAGGTTGAAGTCGAAAAGAACCCAGAATCGACAGAGACACTAAACGAAGAAGGAGATGGTGCCAGCAGAGAAGAGGGTGCGGAGGAGAAGGACGGAGAGACCACAGATGACAAGGAACCCAAAAAGCCATTGACGCCAAAGGAAATCAGAGGTGAGAATGTTGGCTATTAACTTTTCTTCTTCCATTTTCTTCTTCATATTATCATCATTATGGCCATTCGTGTATTGTTCTAATCCGTTCAGTTGATATTTCTTTCTCACTAATTTTCTCATTCTAATTCTCAGTGTCTGTCTTTATTACCGTCTTTCTATCTTTTTCTCTATCTTGTGCAAAATTTAAATAAAAACATTTCCATCATCATCATCATCATCATCATGGGTTCATTTTCCCAGTGGTAGTGGTAATTAGTACATCTTACTATGTAGATTAAAAACATCATATTTTGAGTTTTGGAGTGCAATGCAGTTCTGCTTGTGTAGACAAGTGTTGTTTACTTTTTTAACTGGGGGAGGGGGATAGAATTTGATGGCAGATGTGACAACAGGGAAGCTGCTACAGTATCGGATTTACACTTGCTAGGCACTACAATCCTCAGAAAATTACACACAAAAAAACAACCTACCAGGTTTTGACACCTCATCAATGATTGACATCTCTAGGACTGAATATGCAAATTGTGTCTTTGTGGATGTTAATACAAAATCTTACTGGTATCATTGAATGATATGGCATAATTTTATAAGAATCACTATCCCTTCAAATTCTTGCTTTTATTTTACAAAAAAATAAGTAAACTGATATAGTTAGGTAAATGTCCTTTGCTCTTTTCCTCCAGCGAACGAGTTGTACGATGCGGCCATGGCCATCTTGAACCAGACGAAGCAGGATGAGAAGCATGCCTACACATTCTTGCAGTCGGCAGCAGAGTTGGGGCACACAGAGGCTCTGCAGAAGGTGGCCTGGGCACGCCTGCTGGGGAAACACCTCAAGCAGAACATCACGCAAGCCGTAGAAATCTTTGAGAGCTTAGCCATGCAAGGCAATGCTGATGCTCAAATGGTAGGTTATAAGGTTCCTTGGCCCGTTACAAAGAGTTACGTAGAAATGTTTGACATCAATTTATGGAGCATGAATTTGGACATTTCATTGTCAGTGTAGAATATGGGTTTGTATGGCTTATGCAGACTAATTTGATTTATGAAATTTATATCCTAATTGTATCAGCTATGTATTAGTTCCTGTGTTTACTTTTACATATGTTTCCTTTCACTGTTATTATTATTTGTCAGCCACAAGTGTTCTGTTTGTAGCCTTTATATTAAATGTTAGAGAAAGATTTGGGAATACAAATAAACGAATGATACAAAATATTGCTGACCAATTCATTTTCTCTCCTAGTTAACACTTGTATTTGGTATATTTGACAATGTAATTCTTTCTTCCCTTCCCTAGGGATTGGGCTTCATGTATGCCACAGGAATTGGGAAAAATTCAAGCCAGGCAAAAGCACTTGTGTATTACACATTTGGTGCGCTGGGTGGCAGCCAATGGGCACAGATGGCCTTGGCCTACAGATACTGGTCAGGCATTAGTGTAGCTTCAAACTGCGAGACAGCCCTTACCTATTACAGGAAGGTTTCACATACAGGTAAGCCTCTTTTAATTTCTTCTTCTTCTTCTTCTTCTTCTTCTTCTTCTTCTTCTTCTTCTTCTTCTTCTTCTTCTTCTTCTTCTTCTTCTTCTTCTTCTTCTTCTTCTTCTTCTTCTTCTTCTTCTTCTTCTTCTTCTTCTTCTTCTTCTTCTTCTTCTTCTTCTTCTTCTTCTTCTTCTTCTTCTTCTTCTTCTTCTTCTTCTTCTTCTTCTTCTTCTTCTTCTTCTTCTTCTTCTTCTTCTTTTGTGATTTTGTGCACATAGATAGTTCCACAAAACTGCTCAGTTACTAAGGACTCAATAAGTAGTCCTACCTAATTTCACCTGTTTACCCTTTTTCTTGATTTTTAGAAAACCTTTGATTTTACTTTTTTAGTAGTAGTATTGTTAATAACAATGTAATTATAATGTTATTAATGATAAAACATTGTCAGTATTGATTGCTTCTGAAAAAAAAGCACAAGGAAAGAGTGGTCTACTAATAGACTCCTTGGTGGACTTGCATGTGAGGTGAAATCTATGCATCATAAGCATTATAGAAGTGTAAACAGCAAGATAAAACCTCAAATCCTATACTGGAAACTCTGTGCTCATCAAATTTCTGATTTCACTGATGTAGTGACTTTGGTGTTATTAATAATGAGGGCTGGCAAAGTACCTTTTCTTCCAACAGAGCACCTTAAGATGACGCGACTGAAGGCATGGTGGGTGGTCCTCCTGGTGACCCTTGCTTGTGTAGTGCTGGTGTCCGCAGAAACAACACCAACAACGGTAAGTTTTAAGATTTCAAAGTTGCTCCTTTCTCACCTTCCCTCCTCTTTGACTCCTTCCTTCTGCCTCCACACGTTCCCAGTTAACCATAACCTTTCGTGTTAAATTCCATAAAGGATAGAAAATGCATACTGATTATTCAGAGAGCTGGGTAGAGTGGATTCAGTGCCTTAAAATCTCCGGCTGTTTACTGTGTTAGTGTATAAAGCTACAAAATACAGTTTTATCTTTTGTAATATTTTTCCCCATTACCCTTTCTTATCTCATACTCTCTTGATTCTCAAATCTCAGGCATTCTCTTGTTGCACTTTTCCAGCTAATCAGTGCTGATGACCAGGAACAGGTTGAAGTCGAAAAGAACCCAGAATCGACAGAGACACTAAACGAAGAAGGAGATGGTGCCAGCAGAGAAGAGGGTGCGGAGGAGAAGGACGGAGAGACCACAGATGACAAGGAACCCAAAAAGCCATTGACGCCAAAGGAAATCAGAGGTGAGAATGTTGGCTATTAACTTTTCTTCTTCCATTTTCTTCTTCATATTATCATCATTATGGCCATTCGTGTATTGTTCTAATCCGTTCAGTTGATATTTCTTTCTCACTAATTTTCTCATTCTAATTCTCAGTGTCTGTCTTTATTACCGTCTTTCTATCTTTTTCTCTATCTTGTGCAAAATTTAAATAAAAACATTTCCATCATCATCATCATCATCATCATGGGTTCATTTTCCCAGTGGTAGTGGTAATTAGTACATCTTACTATGTAGATTAAAAACATCATATTTTGAGTTTTGGAGTGCAATGCAGTTCTGCTTGTGTAGACAAGTGTTGTTTACTTTTTTAACTGGGGGAGGGGGATAGAATTTGATGGCAGATGTGACAACAGGGAAGCTGCTACAGTATCGGATTTACACTTGCTAGGCACTACAATCCTCAGAAAATTACACACAAAAAAACAACCTACCAGGTTTTGACACCTCATCAATGATTGACATCTCTAGGACTGAATATGCAAATTGTGTCTTTGTGGATGTTAATACAAAATCTTACTGGTATCATTGAATGATATGGCATAATTTTATAAGAATCACTATCCCTTCAAATTCTTGCTTTTATTTTACAAAAAAATAAGTAAACTGATATAGTTAGGTAAATGTCCTTTGCTCTTTTCCTCCAGCGAACGAGTTGTACGATGCGGCCATGGCCATCTTGAACCAGACGAAGCAGGATGAGAAGCATGCCTACACATTCTTGCAGTCGGCAGCAGAGTTGGGGCACACAGAGGCTCTGCAGAAGGTGGCCTGGGCACGCCTGCTGGGGAAACACCTCAAGCAGAACATCACGCAAGCCGTAGAAATCTTTGAGAGCTTAGCCATGCAAGGCAATGCTGATGCTCAAATGGTAGGTTATAAGGTTCCTTGGCCCGTTACAAAGAGTTACGTAGAAATGTTTGACATCAATTTATGGAGCATGAATTTGGACATTTCATTGTCAGTGTAGAATATGGGTTTGTATGGCTTATGCAGACTAATTTGATTTATGAAATTTATATCCTAATTGTATCAGCTATGTATTAGTTCCTGTGTTTACTTTTACATATGTTTCCTTTCACTGTTATTATTATTTGTCAGCCACAAGTGTTCTGTTTGTAGCCTTTATATTAAATGTTAGAGAAAGATTTGGGAATACAAATAAACGAATGATACAAAATATTGCTGACCAATTCATTTTCTCTCCTAGTTAACACTTGTATTTGGTATATTTGACAATGTAATTCTTTCTTCCCTTCCCTAGGGATTGGGCTTCATGTATGCCACAGGAATTGGGAAAAATTCAAGCCAGGCAAAAGCACTTGTGTATTACACATTTGGTGCGCTGGGTGGCAGCCAATGGGCACAGATGGCCTTGGCCTACAGATACTGGTCAGGCATTAGTGTAGCTTCAAACTGCGAGACAGCCCTTACCTATTACAGGAAGGTTTCACATACAGGTAAGCCTCTGTTAATTTCTTCTTCTTCTTCTTCTTTTGTGATTTTGTGCACATAGATAGTTCCACAAAACTGCTCAGTTACTAAGGACTCAATAAGTAGTCCTACCTAATTTCACCTGTTTACCCTTTTTCTTGATTTTTAGAAAACCTTTGATTTTACTTTTTTAGTAGTAGTATTGTTAATAACTGTAGAATAATGATAATCACACACAAAAAAATAATGATAATGATAATTGTAACAATAATAATGGTATCAGACGGGAGGGGGACGAAATAAGATGAGGCGACTCAAGTTACTTGTGAAGCCATCTATGTGTAAACAATATCCTCAAGATAATGTTACTGTGGACACACACATGCAACGGGAATGAGTTACTACCACTAATCAGAAAAAAAAAATTATAATAGACTTACAGAATTTATATTCCTCCCTTTTAAATAGTGTAATCTTAATATGCCTTCCAGTTGCAGACGAGGTTTCCTTGACCAGGAATCGCGTAGTGCAGAGAGTACGTCTGTTGGATGAAGTCGACAGCCCAGGATCCCTGTCAACGCCCTTGGATGACGATCTCATTCAATACTATCAGTTCCTTGCAGAGAAAGGAGATGTACAGGCTCAGGTTAGATATCTGTATTATTAACATAGGTGATTAGATTAATAGTTATAATCATTTAAATGCACTTAGAGTTTCATGTTCTGTTGCAAAAACTTGTTCCATAATGCTATGGGAATCATTCCTGAAATGTTTACTGTAGTGTGATTTATAATTTGATTGTAATTCAGTGTTGGGGGATACATTTTTATTAATGCAAATGTTGAATCTTTGCAGGTGGGTTTGGGTCAGCTTCATTACCAAGGTGGCCGAGGGGTGGAACAGGACCACCAGCGAGCACTTAACTACTTCGTACAAGCTGCAGAGGCAGGCAATGCAAATGCCATGGCCTTTCTTGGCAAGGTAGAGTCATTTTGTATGATTTACTCAGTGAAGAAGTCTGTTGATGTTTTTTCTTTTGTCTTCAATGTTCCTTGAGCCACATTAATAGTAAGTTTGATTGTAGAAAGTTTCAAGTGCTCATTTCAAAAGGACTGAATTTTTGTAGTTTTATTTCAAGGATACCAGACTTTGCTTGAGATATTAAAGCCTTTGACCAAACTTTATACTTGCAGATGTACCTGGACGGTAGCTCTGTTGTGAAGCAGAGTAACGAAACTGCCCTGAAGTACTTCAAGCGTGCAGCAGATCAGAATAATGCTGTAGGTCAGAGTGGTCTGGGCTTGATGTACCTGCATGGTTGTGGGGTTCCTCAAGACTACCAGCTAGCACTCAAGTACTTCACATCAGCAGCCGAGCAAGGATGGGTCGACGGCCAGCTACAACTGGGCAACATGTACTTCAGTAAGTCAGAGTACAGTATTGTGGGATGTTTTCCACCCAAACACTGAATGGAATGTTTTTGCTTGTAATTTCAGTTGTCAGTGCAGGTTTTGAAGAATGAAAA